CATCATTGACCACAAGATGAACATGAGTCTTCAATGCCATGCTCTGGCTAGGAAAGCGACCAAAATGCTGGCTTGCATCCATAGATGCTTCTCAAGTAAATCCTGGGACGTCATTGGTGAGGCTGCAGCTGGAGTAGTGCGTCCAGTTTTGGGCCCCACAATTCAAAAAGGATCTGGAGAAGCTTGAGAGAGTCCAGAGAAGAGCCATGCTCATGATCAGAGGTCAGGAAAACAGACCTTATGATGACAGGCTGAGAGCTATGGGGCTCTTTAGCCTGGAAAAGTGCAGGCTCAGGGGTGATCTGATGGACACCTATAAATTTATCAGGGGTGACCACCAGTATCTTGGGGAACATTTGTTCACCAGATCGCCCCAAGGGATGATGAGGTCAAACGGTTATAAACTACTGCAATACCATTTCAGGCTGAACATAAGGAAGAATTTCTTTACTGTCCAAGCCCCCAAGGTCTAGAATAGCCTGCCATTGGAGGTGGTTCAAGCACCTACATTGAACACCTTCAAGAGAAAATTGGATGCTTATCTTGCTGGGATCCTATGACCCCAGCTGACTTCCTGCCCTTCAGGCGGGGGGGTGGACTCAATGATCTTCCGAGGTCCCTTCCAGCCCTAATGCCTATGAAATCTATTAAATCTATGAAGTCTCTGTGCTTTCTCGGCTCCCTGTAACCAAGACTTAGCACAGATAGACACTTCTAAAGCACTGGGTGCCTAGATAGAGAGAGCTGGGGCTTGATTTCCAACAGTGCTAAGCACCTACATCCATTTCCCATTGACTGTGATTAGAGAAGTGGGAAATTAGCAGACATGTTCCCCAGAAAATAGTCAGGGTTCCTGGCTGATGAGCTTGATGAGCTAAAGTTCATTCCTTAATCAGGTATATCTCTCAGAGCTGCTGCTCAGAAGAGTCTTTAGGAGGTTGTGGGTTCAGTGTAGTCTCTCATGGTAGAAGAAGGACACAGCTTGGACCTTTTGCTGGACAGAAAAGGGGATTCTTAGCTGGACATGGATAGATCCTGTTCCAACTGCCAGTCTGACCAACCTGGCTTCTGGTGCCTGCCATGCCCCTTTCAGACCTTCCACTGTGCTTGAGACTACACTGCATTTGGAAGAAATTGGTGAATTACCTGGAAACTGTGAACTTCATCTAAATGCTACCATGGCACTGTGTGAGTGTGTGAGAGAGATGGAACCCTTGCTTGCAACCACACAACTACTTTATGGTCACAGGCCTTAACATTTTTTTTAAATGATGGAAGAGAGACAGAAAGGGGGAGATATTCCAGCCCAGAAGAGTCAGTAGCTCAATGCTGCAATTGGTTGTCTGGACTGGAGGAAAACAATGTGCTTGCTTGTGGGTGACTCACAGGGTGCTAGCAGATGTGCAGGCCCCTGCTCTAACTCATGGCATTTTACATAAAGTTGGGCCAAGGTGAGGTGGGGGTGGGCAGGTATTGAGTCTGCTTGCAGGAGCCCAAGGACCCTGTCTGCAGCTGAGGAACTGTCTCTCTCCTCCAGCCCCACCCCCTCCCACTCTGAGCTCCAGGGCTGTCTGCAGGAAGGGAGGGGGAAAGGGGAGTGAGCTGCCGGCTGGGGTTTGCTGGGCCTGAGCTGGATAGGGGGGGCGTGAGGTTGGGTGGAGTCCAATCTACCCATCCCCTCTCCAGCTCAGCCTGGACCAACCCCAGCTGGCAGCTCACTCCCCCTCCTTACTCCCTTCCTGCAGACAGCCCTGGGGGCTGGGCTGGGCTGATGCCACAAAGTAATCCTAGGGAAAACAAGTTCCCTAAGGTGCTCAAAAATGGAGCGCCTTCATCTGATCCCTCATTTGATGAGGGTCAATTTGTTGTGTGATCAGCCACTTAAAAGTGCTCCGCAGCTGTCCATGTGTGTCACAGCATGGCTGTAGAGCACTTTCAGAGGGCTGATCATGTGACAAATGTAACTTCTGTCTGTGCCCTGAGAAGCCCACCCCCCTCTCTCTTATTTTGATCACAGGAAATTTCCAAAAAACCTCCTTCTAGTTTCAGGCTGGAACAAAAGAAAATTTGAATCCCGCACATTATTTTGTAAAATGGAGCTATTGTTTTATAGCCAGCCCAATTAAAACAGTTCCTTTCCAACTAGCCTTGCTTCAAAAGACACAGGGACCCCTGACCCTGGTTAAAAGTAATTGAAAACAGATCCTCTGAGGAAGTGGGAACTGAGAGGCTAAGGCTGTGATACATTATTGAAACTAAAGCTCTGGATTATTATCAGGCCTGCTTTTATCCTCACTTCCACACAGGCTGTATGACTTGCTGAATCATGGAGAAGCTGCTGCTGGTGGATGCTGGCTGGTTTGTTCTGGGGCTATGAACACAACTTGCTTTGAAAACTCTCCAGTGCTTTATTATCCTAGTGATAGAATCAATTTGGAGAAAATTCTGTTTCTCAGCATCCTGCCAAGCCCACAAGCATTTGTGAGCATGTGACAAAGCATAAACAGATAAGGTCCTCTTTGGGATGTGTGGTACTGGTGCCAGCAGAACAAAGCCTGGGGTCACCTGTTGCCTGGCCTTGGGAGACCATGAGCTTGGAAGGCCTGTGTTTTGGAACTGAACTTTCTATGTGAACTCCAGCTGACTCTTTTCTCTCCTTCCTTTCCAGGTGCTGCCACACTCATAGAGTTGGAGGCATTCCCTGTGGGCTTCACTAATGAGGGTAAGTCCCTTTGGTGCTGCTAGCACTGCTGTCTCCATCCATCATTATGCTCCATACACATCAGCCTCACAGGGAGGGAGACTGTGCTGTTGCTACTCCCTGAGCCTTCCTTCCTCTTGCTTTCTGGGGCATTGTAAGGGTTCAGCTGCAACATTCCTGTTGCCCACATTGCTGTGCTCTCAGCTGGAAGGCTGACAGCCCCTGTCCAGTGGGAGTGATTTACTTTGTTGTGATTCACTGAAGCAAGAAGCCCTGGACATTGTAGTAAAGCCTGCTAACATAGGCGACTTGTAGGGGGGATATGGGGGGAGGGGGGCACATGCCCCCCCGGGATTGGCCATCATCACTGCCACTGCTGGCTTCTGCAGGTGGTCGCCACTTGCCACCCTCCCTCTCTGCCCCCCCGCCGCTGCTGCTGCTGGCTTCTCCAAGCAGTCGCCGCTTTCCACCCCGCCACTGGCACTGCCACCCACAAAGTGTCCCCCCACAGTCTGGGGAGGCACCAGTCGTATATGCCTGCTAACATCACTTGATTCCACATTTCCATGAAATTCCTCCTTCTCAGTGATCCCTCCTTCTCAGGACTTGGCAGGAGAGATTCAGGCACAAAGTGAATTAATGTTTTTAGGCAGACAAGGTTCTTTCCGTGAATCTGATATCTTTTATTAGACCAACTGAGGCTGAATAGATGCAAAATGGGGGTCGGACTCGATGATCTATTGAGGTCCCTTCTGACCCTAACACCTATGAATCTATGAACTTAAATAGTCGGGAAAAAAATTTTAAGCAAGCTTTCGGGTTAAAAAATCCTTTGTCAGGCTGAGGAAGTTTCAGCAGTTGGTGTGTGCTCTTCTTGGATGGAATGAAAAGTAAAGAAGCCAGAGGCTGGGCTGGTATGCATACAAGATAGGCAGTCAGTGAAGATGTAGATAGAGGTGTCAATGGGTGAGAGACAGGCTGGGTCGGGGGGGGAGAGAAGGGGAATGAATAATGAAGAAGTACCTGGGGAGTCAGATGTCAGGCAGGTTATAATGTGTCATAAATCCAATGTCTATATTTAGTTCATGATTTTTAGTATCCAGGAGGTTGATGAAGTGGAGTTCATAGGCTCGTCTCTGGGAAGTGTTTTGTGAGTTTCCTTTGAGGATCAGGACTGAGAGATTGGAGAGTGATTTTCTTGTGAGAAATGTGCCCCCACAGGTAATTGGGTATGCCTGTCTTTGATAGATTTCCTGTGTGCGTTCATTCTGGTGCGCAGTTGTTGTTTGGTCTCTCCTACATATTTTCCATCAGGGCATTTGGTGCATTGGATGAGATATATAACATTTCTGGACATGCAGCTGTAAGATCTGGGAATGCTGATGGCTCTGTTGTGGGGTGTAGTAATTGTGGGGGTGGTGGAGATGTGTTGGCTGGTTTTGCATGTCTTGTCATGGCATGGTCTGGATCCATTTGGTGTGTTCTGGGTCTGAGGAAGTTTGCTTCTGGTGATGAGGTTAGCATCTTTATGTCTTTATGGTTAATGTCTTTATGCATTAACACCAGACTTTGGTGTACAAGGAGCAGGGGTTAGAGCATGAGAACAGAGTCAGGATAAAAGAGATCCTAAACCTATGGGATTGGTTTCCCTGGCCTGGTGTCTGTACAGATGTGGTCTCTTGTTTGACACTAGATTCCTGAGTTTTGCATGAGGCTGAATAGATGCAAAATTTCAAAGCAAGACTCATCCAGTAAAACAGCTTTAAAAATCCCAAGAATTTCTCATAAGCTTGCATCTCTGCCCATTGTGTATCTTAGATGAAACAGCCATCTGCATCCTCCCTGCATAGCATTCATTAAAGCACACAACATTCTCTGGCTTTCAGCAGTCACCTATCTGAATAAGCCCAGCCCAGGTGACACATCTGTAGGGTGATGTCTACCTGGCCTCTGGAGCTATTGCTCCCAGGAGCACAACTGAGGGCTAAGCCCTGCCTACTTGCATCCACTCCACATGCACCCAAATCTGCAATTTCAGCAGCAGGGATAGCTCAGAAGCACACCTCAGATTCTTCCCTGAGCAGGAGCCATCAGGCTTTCTGTGTTCAGACAGCCTGAGTGTGATGCTAGGAAATGTACAGAGGACCACTCTGAGCTGCTTGGGTCTGCTCCTGAGCTATCAGCTCCACCTAATTTATGGGCTTAGGTGCATGCAGAAAAGAGAGTAAAATGAGCTAATCTCTTGCCAGCTCACTCCAGAGGCCATACAGACATAGCCTGGGAGTGTCTACTGCTCCTCCTTGACTCCTCCTGTTAGAATTCTTTGAAGTGACTTTCACCAGGGCAGGCTTCTTGGGCTCACCTGACCAGCTAGTGCTTTATCACTTCTGTATAGCCACTGTTGTGCAGTTGGAGGGAAGCTAAAGTAGAAAGCAGAAGTGGTTCATTTCTCAAAATGTTTTTGGGGATTCGAGTTATCTTTTGTTCCAGCCTGAAACTAGAAGGAGGCTTTGGAAATTTCCTGCAAAAAATGAGAGAGAGAGTGGGAAAGAGAGGGCTTCTCAGTCACCAACAAACAAGCACATAAGTCTTTTGTAGTCCAGATGAGCAACCAAAACATTGGGCTATTGGCTCTTCTGGGCTGGAATCCCTCCCCTTCTCTCTCTCTCTCCCATTACTTTTTTTCCTCAAATGTGTTAAGGACTGGGACCATAAGGTTGTTGTGTGGTTGCAGAGCAAGGTGTCCATCTCTCACACGCACTCACACAGTCAGTCCTTCTGACTGGCAGTTCAGAAGGAGCTGATGCAAAACTTACGGTCAGAAAATCATGCTATGCTTAGTTCACTAAAACACTGTTCCCCTCCTGTCAGAGGCTACCTAGTGGACAACAGTCCCTAGCCTCACCTAGAAACAATCCCTAGCCCCACATGCATGTTGTCCCCAGGGGACAACAGTCCCTAGTCCCACATGGTGCTGGACACCATGTCCAGCACCTCAACCACTGGAAGTTGGCATAGCTCCATTAACTTCAGTGGAGCTACACAGATAGCAGCAATCCCACAGAGTGGCTCAGGGTTGACCTATAAACCTTATGTAACCCTGGGATATTGGGGTCTCAATGATAGAGAAAAATTTCAGACCCACTTACTCTGGGGACAATCAGCACTGCTTGGCCTGCAGTGACTTCTGGTGTTACAAGAAGCCTGGCTATGTGCTGCTGGGCAGCCTCCAGTCATGCAGGCAAAGTTAGCAGGGGGAGAGGCAGCACAATTCAGAAAGAAGAAAGGACAAGCTTATTATCTCCTCCCAGGGAGAGCAAGAGGGAGAGTTAGGGGCTCCAACATTGTGGTCCCAGCTTTTCTGACAACCTCTGCTCTATCTTTAGCCAAGTCACTTCTGGGCTGGATTTCAGTGGTATAAGAAGACAGGACTTCCATAGGAGTCAGTGGGATCAAACAGTTCAGGAAGCCAGGCCACTGGCTTGTCAGAGTTTCCCTGCCTGTAAAAAGGGAGTAATAACCCTTACTTCTCCTTCCCAGTTAGTGTGAAAGCTAATTCATGTGGCATCGGGGACAATAGTGACTACCTTCTCGTGATGTCTCCCATAAGTAGCTGTAAAGTGAAACTAAGAGTCACTACTAAGGCAACTGGACTTTCAATTTTTCCAACTTTGATTCTGCAGTCTTTACTGGGCCGGAGAGATAGAATCTACACATTAAGCAATAATACCAGACAATGGCTCACAGACTTGGAAGTTGATATGTGATGCCATACAAAAGAGAAGAGTGTGGCACTACCTGATTAGGCTTATTATTAGTCTCCACCACATTCCAAAGGCCTAGTAGCTGTCACATCCATCCCTTGTCACTGTAGACAGGGGTTAATTTACATTTAAAGGGGAAGGAAGGCCTTTCTTTCAGTCTCAGCCAAAGATGCTGTGGCTGGCTCTGCAGTGATGTAAATTAAATCAATCATGTCTTAACCTAAGGAGTGTTAAAGGCAGCACACATTCCTCTGAGGACAGCAGCTCAGATGGCTGGGCTAGCAGCAGAGGGAAGGGTATGTATGGATGGCCTCATAAAACCAAGATGAGTGGTAATTATAAATCTCTGCCTTGGCAGGAAGGGCTACCATTAACTTTAATCAAGTCAGTAGCAAAGTGGAGGCTGATGGGATAAATGTCTCTCTCCAGCCCTCTCTCTCTCTTAGGAGGCTTGCTGACAGTTGATGGGGCATATTGAAGTGAGCCGAAAGGTTAATATCATTATCACTGGGGGCACAGGGTCTCTAACAGACAAGGGATTGTTGACCAGATGGGGAGACTTGTCTGTTTAATCATGTGATCTAGGGCCTATTAGTCATTACAAAGGAGGGTCTCCTCATAGCAGCTGGCCACAGGAAAAAGGTTAAAGAGACACGTGTCAGGGCAAAGCAGAAGGGTGGGGAGGGGTAGCTTTGGCTTTTGTCTCTAGGATCATTTTCCATCTGACTGGACAGCAGGTGGGAACAGAACTGTGTCACTAGTTTCTGCCTAACATCTAGGGCCGCAGGGGTTGGCATGGGATTGGGGAGGATGAGAAGATTCAATCTAGCCCCTGAAAGGGGAGCAGACAGTCTCAAGGGGCACAGGAATTGTCTGGGAAATCCTATTCAAGGCAGACTGCTTTTGAGGTTCCTGCAGATAATGAATAATTTTTGGTGAGAGAATTGAATCCTTCCCATTGTGCAAACAGTCAATGGCAGTGTCCAGGCACTACTAGGCAGGCCTCCAGTACATGGCAGAGACAGCTGAAAGCGGAGAACCATACAATAAATAATGGTCACATGCATCAATTCTCATGTAAACAGGGGCACAGGCATCCACCTCAGCAGGATCTGTAGGGCTGGGAAAGAAGGATCTTTGATACTGGAGCATTAGATGCTGCTAGTTTTTTTCAAGCAATTAGGAAAACTTCAAGCCTGATTCTGGCAGATAAACATAAATAAATATACTGTCGCAAAGAACATTGGAAAATGTTAT